ATATTAATTACGCGTTATCAATCTCGAAATTTTACCTTTTTAACGCCCTTACGCAGTTATTCGAATAACTGTGAATACGCGTAAAATATATACTCGTTTTCTCGTATACAATATACGACAGTTGTCAGGGAATGCCAAGATGGCGTCGAAAGAGTGGAATGCGCGCGCTTTTCGAACTGTCGTAACGAAAGGAGGTAAAAGAGAAATCGTGGAACTGACCGATATCGATTGACGGAGGACCCACTCGATCCGGATGTTGTTGAACTTGAACGCCTCCTCGCAGCAAAATGTCCCCTGAGAGATGAACGAAAAGAACAATTCGTTAGAGAGGGGATTAAAAATGCGAGAGGATCGAAAATAAATTCGAAATAAAGCGATACGTACCCATTGTCGAGTCGTTTCAGCGATTGCGCGGTCGCAGAATCTGCATATCCTGAGAGAAGGGTAGGATTTAGACCTTTTCTCGCTCCAGTCCCGAATAAAGTTGTTCACGAGGTTCAGTGTCATCTTGGTTTGCGTATTGTCGAACGATTCTAAGGAAACGACGTGATGAGTGAAAAATCAATCTCAAATTTATCCCGTTCCTTTATTCGAGAGAAGAGAATAAAAAGGAGAGAAAATTTTTTCTCGTCAATTATCCGCGTGATTACCTTCCAAAGCTTGGACAGGGCAAACGAGCTTCTTCACTATTTCCTTGAGAAGAAGAGACAAAGTGTGAATTTTCTCCGACATCCTGCACGGCGTCAACCTTTCCAAAATGTACAACACGTCTTTTATCCGGCATATGATGTTCTCGATGTCATTAGGGTTTTGCAGGCACAACAGAATCACGTCCATCTGCGTATAAGAGAAGTGAAGGAATGGGAGGATTTTTTTAGGAAAAACCGTTTTTCTTTTTTCCGCTCACTTTGCGAACCACCTCGTCCGGTAAAACGTCAAAATCTTGACACCGAACGCAAGGGGACATGTCTTGGTAGAGATCCGATTGTTGGCATTTCTTTTTCAACACGCTCACGCAGATTATCGACGCGGTCGAGGCGGCTACAACGTCCAGAGCACCGTGCAAAGGGATCGACTCGTAATTAATCGCGAAATATTTCTTCGAGTGGAATCTGAATGAATTTTTTTTTTTAATAAACGTTAACAAACGTTTATATTTTCAAAGAAAAGAAAAAATATTTTTTTTCATCTATTCTCGGGGGACGAACTTGTAGAAATCCACGAAATTTTTCAACAAACGATGAGCCCGCATGAAAATCTCCAACGTCAAGCTCAGCCATTCCGAATCTTCGGATAATTGCGACTTCCGATAGAGGCAGAACATCGTTGCGAACGATATTTCTTTCTTCCTCTCTCTTTCTCTTTCTCTTTCGATCTTTTCACTCTAAAAATATTTCTATTTCTCGAAAATGAAAATTCGTACGGCCTCGATACTTGTTGAATTAACCGACGGATCGATGGGAGAACGGGTCGTTGCAGTCGAAATGTATAGGATACGAAATCGTTTTTACCGACGAGCAAGCTTGGCCGTTCGATAATTGTTTATTCGCGAACAGCACGTCGAATCAATCGAAGGCAGAATCAAACCTGGTTTATTCCTCTCGACGCGATTGGCAATCAATCAATCAATCAATCAATCGCCGCGGTAAATCGTCATCATCGTTCCTCTCGACTTCGCTTTCATCGCACCATGTTTTTGACGCGTGACAAGTGACGTTCGCCGTGTCGCGTGAAGTACGCAACGCGTGGCGGCGCGTATCGATGTTTCGCGTCGGTCTCGACTCTCGTTCCCTTCGCCGCGCGGCCGGCGCCAAATTCGAAACAACGCAAGATTGATTTCGCGATTCGGAAGAGTTTGAGAGAAGAGTTTTATTATTATAATATTAATATTATACAATATATAATAATATTTATTATTAATTATATTTTTGGATGAAAGGAGGATGCTTCTTCAAAAGGACGTTTCCTTTTTTGAAATATTATAATTAGAGATAAGTTTCATTCGCTATTGCGAATGAAGTGAACGAAATTGAAAGTTTTAAAGATCGTATCTTTGAAATTAACAAACTTATATGGTTACGGTTTGTAAGTAGACAAACGAATTTTTATTTTTTTAAAAATTTAGAAATTTTTTATTCCTACATGCAATAATTAAAATAGTTAATTAGATTCTATAGATATAAATTTCAAGAATAAGTTTTACATAAGTCAATGTTGGCCAACGAATTTTTTTAAAAATATATAAATTGATGATTACTTCCTACATCCAATAATAAAATACATTAATTACATTCTATGTATCTACGCTCTGTAAATTTCACAGTTCCATATAAATCGATGTTGGCCACCGAAATATTAATTTAAAAAAAAAAAAAAAAGAAAGATAGAAGAATCCACGAGATCCCTTCGAGATTTTTCTTTCGACGTGTAAAATTGCGAAATATTATAATTACTTTTCTCAAAAACTATATCCACCAAGGATATAATAAACGAAAATTGAGCTCGTTCGAATAGCGACGAGGGGACGAATGGGCCAAGCTCAAAGGCTTGTTTAACCTTACATTTCCACACGTGTGACACGTCATGTGGAACTTGCGGCGAAATGCTCGTCTTGTTTTACCCTAAAATTCCGCGATAAAGAGTAAGGGGGAGATGCACTTGGGGAGGGGCTTAAAAGGGATTGCTCGTGATTAAAACAAAGATGTATGTCTCCTACATACAAGATTCATAATGGATCGCGGCATTTGCAAATGTAATTTTATTCAACGTTGTCACGTTTCTTTCCTTTATCGATTTGTGAGGCGCGTGTATCGAAATTATTGAAACTGGAATTGTAATATTTTTAATAATAATTATAATTATAATAATTATATTTGGGAGGATTTTTTATTAAACGGTGAAATTTAATTAAACCTTTCCTCTCTTGTTGCTATTTTTCTTTTTATCGATGTATTATCCATGCATCGCGTATTAAAAATTAATACCTCTTCTTATAATTTTTTCACAAAATACACAAATTTTGGTGCATTTTGCGCATTTAATTCTTTTACCGCAAAATGTATTCACATTCTGGTCGATGAATATTATTCAAATATGAATGTAAAATCGCTATTTATTCGTTTTTAACACGTTCACATTCCTTGTCGCAACGTGTCATAATTATTTAAACAAAAATCGGGAAATATTATTCTCTTCCTCCCTTCCTCCTTTTTACCCTTTTACCAAATTATCCAATCCCTCTCCCGATTTTAACATCGATCTCAATTTTCACGAATATATATATATATTTTTAATATTTATATTTTAAATTTCACCTCCGTTCCATTATTTCCTCCCACCTTTTATTTTACACGTTTAATGTTACACGTTCACGCGCGGATAAATTAAAAAGAAAAAAAGGAAAAAAGAGAAAAGAACGACTTATCCCACAATAGTCGTTGTCTACTTCCGAGAAACACGAATAACAAATGGCGCCGCTAAGTGGAAAACTCCGAGTGTTGCTCTTTCCTTTTCTTTTTTTCTTTTCTTTTTTTTTTTTTTTCGTCACTCACACTGATTACAAGGAAAGGCGAGGAGTGGTTGGGGACGGTCGTCTGTATTTATAAAAAAGTTTTCGCGGATATAATTTATCCTCAGAATTTTCGTTCACTCGCAATTCCGCTTGATACTCATTCGAATGGAAGAAACTTGAGGGAAGGAAATGAAGAGGAGGGGGAGGAGGAGGAGGAGGAGGAGGG